TACTAATATTTCATGCTGCAAACTGCCACCATTTTACAAATAACAAATATTTTCTGTTTTATGGTCTTTTTTTCACATATTTTACTCCTAAATTATTAAGAGCAAATTATCCTAAATATTAATGTGACTTCAGCTAAGTTTGTATATAAAATAAAATACTAGGACACATGCCCTCTGTCCTTCTGCAAATGCAGCACAGCATTCCCACATCAGAATTTATTGTACCACATCTTACCCAGTGTGTTATTGAGTGTTCTTGTGTTTTTTTAGATCCATCAGAAGATATGACTCTTCCTGAAGCGCCTGAAGAACACATACAGTACCTTCATTGTACTGAAAACCTATTTCTTCTTCTTCTTCTAATATCATTCATGATTTATGATGAGTACATTTTATTGTATTTTTATATACAGTAATTATTGAAGTATATTTAAATAAATTAAATTACAACCATATGTACACCAAAGAAAACATTTGTTTTGGGAACATATACAGTATAGCAGGGCTATTCAACTAAATTGCTCCATGGGGCCACGGTTAATGCAGGCCAACAGCTGAGGGGCCGAACATCCAGCAATTAAAGTTATTATGTAAATAAACCAAAGATCTGTTACCTTAGAAAAAAAATTTAATCATGGATATAACATACTGAACCCAATGTAATAAATTTAGTGATAATAAAACAATATCAAAATCAAAAATAATGCATCATACCTCTTATTTAACACAATAATATTTTGACATCTCTGATTTGCCAACTTTTTAAACCAATTTTTTTTTACTTTCATAGTTTTATCTTCAACTGGTTATAGTTTTAAGTATCTTGAGTGTGCTTGGAAATAGTTTTTACCAGCTTGTAGCCAAGATTCTGATGTTTCTATAGATGCCAAACAAGTTTAACTTAAAAAACTCATATAATTAAAGTAGAAAACTGGTGGTCTGGGCTCAAGAGATGAATGAACCAATTGGCGGGCTGCATTTTGGTCACTCGCGGGCCGGATGTGGCCCGCGGGCCACCAGTTGAATAGCCCTGATATATAGTATTTAAAGTATGAAAATTGGAATTTTTAGATTTTTTTCTTATTTTTCAGTTTTTCATAGTTGATGGGTACCTCTAAAGAAAACCGATGCAAATTTTGGGATTGACAAAAAAATTGTAAAATAAAATAAAAGTCAAATTAATTAATTAATAAATTAATTAATTAATATGCAAACAACTTATTGAGACACTGCAGCATGAACATCAGGAAATTTATAGAGGTGGGCATTCCTGACATCCCTTGGTGTTGTACCTGGACATGAACTATTTCGACAGTAGCTATCAATCTGCTATACAGTAAGTAACGTGAGTGGTTACAGTGCAAATTTTGCTCAAAACATATTTCTGGTACTGCGGTGTCCATGGATTAGCAAATAAATGCAGAGGGGGGAAAAAAGAAAAATTGTGAGAAAGCTATAGGCTACATTATGAATGTGGACCCCCTTTGGACTGGAGTTAAAACAACAATTAGGCATTCTTGGAAGTAAGGGATTGAAAATCAATGTGTATTCAAGGCCAATAAAATATTTTGAAAATTTGTCCCAAAATGTGCCTTTATTTAGAGCAGTGGTTCCCAATCCTGGTCCTCAAGTACCCTATCCAGCATGTTTTAATTACTTGTTTCCCTGCTATTCGGCGCATCTTCAGAAGATTGTTAATCACTCATTCATTCAAACCAGGTGTGTCCCAATCAGTGAAACATCTAAACATGCAGGAAAGGAGTCCTTGAGGACCAGGGTTGAGAATCACTGCTTTAATACATGTTATCTGATTTATTATTTTAAAAAATGGCAAAAAATCAATGGCTTCCAGAAGCAATACTTAAAAAAACATAAAACTTAGTCAATATTATATTTTGAAAACGTCTCATCAAGCTCAGAGAAGCTCTTGAAGTGTTGGTCAACATTTAAAGCAGTGATTTGTAGATGTTTCCCTGATTTGACACACCTGGTTTGAATGAATGAGTGATTAACAATCTTCTGAAGACCTGATGAATAGCAGGGAAACAAGTAAAACATGCTGGATAGGGGTAATTGAGGACCAGGATTGGGAACCACTGATATAGATGAAAGAGAAAAAAAAAACATAATTGATTCCATTTGAAAATCAATTCTGAAAAACGCGATTCTCGCCAGGGAGTTTATTTTGAAAAGCTTCCCCGGATGTGCCTCTCGTGATCACGTGCTTATTGACGCCGGTGCAGCGTAACCCACTGAGCCTAGTTTTAAAATAGGACTAATACCCAGGCGTACAGTAGCGGCAGCGTTTTGCCTCGGATATTTTTGTCTCTCGCTGTTTTTTGTTATTTTTTTATTATTTCTTCTGGATTTTAAACCTAACAAATATACTCCAGGATGCCTTCCGGTCAAAATGTTCAAGGTAAGAAATAACACGATAAGACAGCGTCTTTTGTTTCAGGTCCTTACAATAGAGCATCTCAGGCCGACTGGCTAGACTCCAATAGCTTTTTTCGATATTTTTTTTGGATTTGTATCAGAATAACCTCGTTTTATGTATTTCCTTTAAGGTGGGAAAGCTTTTGGGCTTTTAAAGGAGCAGCAAAGGCAAAGGCTGGAGGAAATAAACCAGGTGGGAGCCATGTTTTTATTCCTTCATCTCAGCGTCTCTAACGGTATTTGTGGTAATGAGTGCACTTGACTTGGTCTTGTTTTTGAACCTGCGGTGGCGCTTTGAAGATTCAAATGTAGGTTATATTTTCAGTAGAGCTACTAACAAATAATCCCCCCAAATACCATTTGCATTCCACCGTAGCTGCCCTTTGTGATAACAGCGATGCTGATTATTGATTTGTGTGTGTGCTGGTGTCATGACACTTGTTGAACGTCGCACATTAATGTGTTTAGAGACTATTTTTCCCCTCTGACCTGGTCATATCGATCTGCTGGTCACCCATGACTGCTCTGGCTTCACCCCCTCTTGCTTTTAGGAATAACAGGTGTTTGAATGAGCTCTGCTTAACAGTCCCCTCTCCCCACAGATTAACTAGATGTCTGTATAATCTCAGTTTCTCTTTATTCTTGTGGCTGTCATCAGCTTCAAATCAGCTGGTGACATTTTGCTGCACAACACTCCTTACCCCATCATCTGTTAAGATGCTCTTTTTGCTCATTAGAGAATTTGAAAGTGAGATGAACCCTGGATGTCCACATAATGACACGCTTTGTTTGAATTCAGCATTTTTTGCACGAATACAATAGATTTTTTTTTTTTACCCCCACTGATTAAGCAGGAGTGCATTATGAAAGTCTAAATCCTAGCAGAGTGTGGAGCTTATTCGTGTGTAGAAAGCTGCCCCATCAGCGTTGCCAGATGGGAAATGTTGAATTATCGTATTTTGAGGAAAATTATCGTGCACACACCCAAACTGCATTCTAGAGAGGCTCAAATTTACAAATACGTCCTGCTCAGCTCACAATGTGCTCTGTATTCAACAAACTGCACATTGTTTTGTTTATAATAACGTTAAAAAGCTCTGTATCTGACTGTTGGGTGTCCTTTTTTAACAAAAGCTTTATTGTAAACAAGAACAAAACAGGGCGCCTGGTGAAATGATGCATATAAAAGGAAATATTAGATAAAATGACTATAATAAAATGTAAATTAGGCAAAGTTCAAATGAAATCAGGACAATAACAAATCATTGTAGTTTAGTCAAGAAATAAATTGAGTGCATACTGAACAAATTTAATCTGCAAGCCTCAAAAAAACTTTTTTTCTTTAAAAATATCTTCTGGAWGACACCTGGATGTTTATTAAATGTAAATGTTGCTTATACTCCTCAACTTCTCACTCCCACCTTTTTCTTTTTGATTTTACAGTTATTTCTTTCACATAAGCGCTACTGTTACATTTATCCTTACTGCCATAATGTGGGAGGGGGATCTGGGGTTCTCCCCCAGAAAACTTAGAATGAAGTAGGTGCTGTTTCCTGCATTCTGGTGTATTTGCAAGTTGTTAAATGTATTTTAAACTACATAAATAAACACTTTCATAACTATTTTAGAGACAGATTCTACATTCAACTCAATATATGAATCATCCTTTTTGTGTCACATTGGACGTTTGATTCTTTGACCAGCTGGTAGCCTAAGCAGTAGCGTTTTAATGGGGTAAAAAAAAACATTGGCGACTGCATCGTGGCAGCCAGCCTTCTCTTTAGAGACCGTAGTTTGTCAAGAGAAAAAAATAGTTTCTTCTGTTGCTCCTTTTTTAATATATATAGATTAATGTATTTTTATTTTACTGTCACAACTCTAACCTTCCTTTCTGTTGGCTAGGGACCAGCAAAGGGATCTATTTTTAGCCATAGAAATGTTTTTATTAACATCCCATCATGGATCAGTCGCAGCAGCAGTATTCATTTCATGTCTGGATGGGATGGATATCTACCTGCAGCAGGGAGAGACGCAGCGTGAAGAAGCCTCCTGTCGGTGCTCTGGGACCGGGGAGGAGGAGCTCTCAGCAGCACAATGGAGAAATGTGTTCACGGCAGAGTCTCTGAGTTTCAATAACACCAGAAAAAGAGTCGCTAGATTTTCACTATTTTCTGCATAACAGTATCTAGAGGGTCTGAAAAGTCTGTAAATATAGTGAGGAAGTCGCTAAATCAGCACCGCTGTGTTCCACAACCCGCCACCTTTCATGTCAGCGAGCCGCGTGTCGGGTCGATTACGTCACACAATGGAGCGGTCAAATTATCGTACATTATGGGATTTTTGTGATTATTGATCGTACAGAGGGCAAAATTATCGTACAAATACGATAATTATCGTACATCTGGCAACACTGTGCCCCATAAACGTCTGCTTTAAATCAAAACGTTAATGATATTAAAAAAAACAAGCTTTATGTGTCTTTTATTTTCCAAAATGTCAACTTTACTGCAACGCAAGATTTGTGAAGTCAGACTTCCTTCAAAAGTTCAAACCTAGCAGGTTGTGTCATTTTTAGTTCAGATAAGGTGACAGAAGAACTACTGGCTGAAAAATGTTAAAGATGAAATTTTTTTTTATCCCAAATATAAGAATTTCTATGAAACTTGATGGGCTGTCAAGTCGCTTTCTTCCTCCTTGGCCAGTTTGTACCCACCTGGTTACAATTTTTGAAGCTGTTTATTTTTCTTGGTAATTAATTTAATGAATTATAAAGGTTTTTTTTTAAATGCTTGATTATTGATTGTAACTACAACTGGTGCAAATCTGGGTATGAAGTGACCTTAAACCTTGTGGGTACAAAATGACTAAAAGACATAAAGCAACCTCAGTGTTTTACTAAAATTTGTTTTTGACTCACTCCCATCAATAAAAATCTCTTACGTGCTTGATTTAAAATTTTGCTTTTACTTTTGTCATCAGAATTTAAATATGAAGCCAGGCTTCAAAGGGAGAGGAAACACATATTTGACTTGCTTTTTCAGAGGGAGATGAATACATGTGGCATAAAATGTCAATTAGAATTATCAGACGTACAGAACAATATTATAAACTTGTGAAACATTTCTCACAGGTTCATACCCCTCTCTAATGGCGTTGTGACTAAACATTCCTGTGTGGAGGCTGCAGGTCAGCTGAAAAACATCCATTTGTGATGTTATTCAAGTTCATTACAAGCTTGATGGTCACATAGAGGTCACTACAGGGAACATTTATTTTGTCCTTCTTCATCTGTCTTTGAGATGATGATGATGATGATGATCTCACCCACATGGCATATTGCATCATTATATTTTCATTAGAACATATCCCTTCAGGCTCCTCTCCTCCCATGTGAGGTGTTCCAGTTAAAGGAAGGCACTGATTAGATGACAACAATTCAAAGACATGAACGTTTTTGACAAATCACATTTTAGAAGAAATGTTTGACAGGAAACCTTAAAGGTGCAGTATGTAACTTTTCTAAAAATGTATTTTTTACATATTTTTTCATTCTGTCACTATCTCCTGACAGATTGATATTAGACAGGTAAGCTATGGAG